ACCGTCCATTCTCTCCAGGACCGAAATGGACTAGCTAAATATTACCCAGCACTTAGCGCATAATTGCCAAGTTGCCCGTGTTCAATCATCGATCGTAGGGATTAAAGGGAACAGCGAACACAACGATGTTTCGTCAGTGACACTTTACCAATTGAAAACGAGGTATTACCCGAAACTTTCGATTGTGCAATGAATAAGCGAGTTTCGTTTAACACTTTCAATGTCACGCACTTTTTATTCTAGGCTCGTTATAGTCTCATTACTTTCTGTTGATAGAAATGGACACCAATATCTTCCACGTTTTTCAACAATTAACACATTACTATATTTATATAAACATATTTAAATAATAAAAACAACTCGCAATAAACTATTTAAAAAAAAAAAAAAATGACTGACACTTTCTAGAAAATTCTTCTTTTTCTCTCACTCCTATTAACCATTACACACCCATGTTTTGAGTGTTATTCCATCTCATTCGCATTCACACATATAAAACCACACTCACAAATATAAGTATTAATAATAAGTTTTAAAGACACGTGTAATGATAATAATAAAAGAAAGACAAGAGAGTATTTTCTAGAGTAATAATTACGAAATATGAACACTATTGAAACTGGTTGATCAGAAGAAAGTAGTCTTCGTGTCAATCGAGAAATTATTTTCGAAGCAATCTGAAGATCGGATTTTTAAAAAATTTTTTCAATTAAATATAATATAGGTATCGTTTTAAAGACACGTGTAGTGATAATAATAAAAGAAAGACGAGAGAGTATTTTCTAGAGTAATAATTATGAAATATGAACACTATTGAAGCTGGTTGATCAGAAGAAAGTAGTCTTCGTGTCAATCAAGAAATTATTTTTGAAGTAAGGATTCATCGGGTTGCACGTCGATATTATTTTATGTACTGTTCATCGTAATATTCAACTCTTTTAACATACTTATCTGTCAATATATTTGATCTTCTATTCGTATTACAGTTGAGGAATGAATAAGCGAGAAGCGATGATTTAAAAAAGGACTCGGAAGATTTATATAGTATATTACAAAATTGCACCCAGAGAAGTAATTTACTTGTTATAAACGAACACTTAAAAAATTCTTGGATGAAAGAGAGTGTCTGTACAGCTCCTCGTTATAAATCTAGAAAATTACCATTCGAATGGAACATAAATTGATAGCAATTGACACCAATATCTTCTACGTTTCTTAACAGTTAACGCATTAGTATATATAGATAAAAATATTTAAATAATGGAAAGAACTCGCAATAAATTATTTTAAACAAAGATATTGATTGACACTTTCTCACATAACTGTTTTATTTTAGCACGATCTTCTAAACATTTGTTCAAACATCATTCATACACATATTCATTCACTCGCACATATTATATTTATATTATCGCAAATGATATTCTATTCTATTTCTAATTGCTTTTATATGGTCATTTGTTCATTCGTAACATAGAACCCCTTGCTTCATCTCGGTCACGAGTTAAACATAAGTTTTATCTTGAAATTTCTTTGTGTTTAAATTAAATGCTCGATAATTAATACGAAACAGAGGTTGACATATTATGGACATATTTATAAATCACCACCGTGAATAGAATTTCGGGTATTAACGCACGTATGCAAACGTTTATTACACGTAAATTGGAAAATGGACATCTTTAAATATGACACATACGCACAGGTCTATTTTCCGCAGAATATTCGGTTTAAATTAAAAATTAAAATTAACACTGTGACTACCGTGCATTCTTTATATAGTACGCTCAGGGGACCACGACAAAATTTCCATTATTCTTACGATATACTGATGAATTATCAAACAATATGGCAAAGAAAAAAAAAAGCGGTGCAAATTATTAATGCTTTCTATTCAAAGTTCTCTATTTATTTAAATATTCAAAATATAATATAATAATATTCAAAATTTAAATATAATATTGTTCAAATATTCAAAAATTGGTTAGGATAAAACGGATATAAATTTAAAAAATTAGTATCTCCGAACGCTGATGACCACCATGGCCCCATTGAGGAAGCAAGCACGATCGTGGCAATCAACGTGTTAAAATATATCCTCGTTCCTTGATCACCAGCTCGGTCACTTTTATATCAGCCGCGCATCTCGTTTATTAAGCGAACGTTGTAACTGTGAATTGCAGCGAGCAAGATATGCAAATTCGAGAAGTTTCTCACGTGCATCGTATCTGTTTCAGGCGGTGCTTTTCCACCTGAATTTGCTGGTCCCATCACGAATCTAACTGTACCGGTCGGAAGGGACGCAACTCTTACGTGTTTGGTCAAACATTTGGGGGGTTATAGGGTAAGTTCTCCCTATAAAAATGCGCGATGGCAGGACATGCATATGTCCGCTAGCTTTTCCACTTACTTAGCATATTTTTTATTTTTCTCGTCTCGTTTTCTCGTGCTACGACATCTCTTGCGAGAGGACAGAGCACGTTTTTCAGACATTCATCGAGAGTATCCCACCAGTCTTCTTTCGTTAGGAATTACAAAATAAATTTGCCCTATCGATTTACGTAATCTTGAAATTTTCCTCGTATAACTTAGAACTAATTTAGAAAATATCTGCTTCGAGTTACACTTTCGAATTTTCTCGCAAGTGTAGTCTATAAAGAACATTAACCCTTTGACTGTCACGACGAAATCACATGTTTCGATCAGGACGCCATGAGAATATTTTCATTACTCAAAGCATATAATGGCAAAATAATAATAAATTGGCGATGTAAGACAACATTCTTACCAAATAGAGCGTTTATCATATTGGCGGTCATTGGTGACCACCGGTGGCACCTTGGTAGCAGCTGACAATCAACTAACCGTCAATTTTCATTCAATTTTTACAATTGTAAATAATTCAAGAGCTCTGGTCACCAATGACCACCATGGCGTCACAGCAGAAACCATGACTTGCCATATATAACCACAGTGGCAGTCAAAGCGTTAATTTAAATAAAGCGTTAAAAGAAGTGTTTAAAACCTTTAATCGAAACTTCCAAAATTTTCTCGCGGTCCTCTCACATTATAAATATTCGATACACAGACGCAATTAAAGTTTCAATCGCTCTACAACACGTAAAACCTTACACCGTTTTGTTTTCTGTCAAGTTAGTTTGAAAAATGCAACGTGCTAATTGTCGTGTCAGGTTAGGTTAATATTTACAACGCTATTGTAAATTTACAATTTCCATCCACGACACGAACGTTAAGCAAAATTTTGGAAGGTGTACGACAACCTGTAAGACCCTCGATCATTTCCCCGAATTGATTTCGGTACAGCTTGATTCCGGACACCAAATAACCCGCTTCGACACTTCAGCGGACTTGTAGAACTTCGCCAAACAAGACATCCCCGCTCATACTTAACCGTATACGTTTAATCCTACACACAGCCGGGATAAATTTCAATTACATCTTTCCAGCAGCGAGAGTCATTCTCCGAAAACAATTTCGAACACCATTACGACATCCCTAAAGTGCACCCGGTAACCCCTTTTCTATTAATACAAGCGTTCCTCGAGACCCCATAGTACGCTTCTGCGACTTCGTGAGATCTGGAATATTCTAAGGAAAATGCAAATATCGCCTCGAAGTTTGGCCAAGAAGATAGAAGACGCGTACGCGCCACCTATACGTGTTCCTCCGACCACAGCATAGGTATCCGGCTTGTTTGTATTCCGTATTCGGCCTGTCTATAGGGAAATTGCGGTGTTCTCGACCGTCAAAATCCATGAACACGTCTCCGGCCTCTGAAGGTCATTTGCTCTGCATGTTGTCGTCTCATTAACCATTTTCATCTGACCGGCGGATTTATAGGATCGATTCACGTGTTTACAGGAAATCGCGCGCTAAACTGAACCGGTCGCTTCAAAATTTAGCGTATCTGCTTCATCCTAGCTGCACATCTAGCGGAGGATATCGAGATTGACAAATCGCATTATTATCTTTCGTTTTGTTGCAATTTCTCAAGTGAAATTGACGTGCAGCTCTTGTAGGATTATTGCTAGATTAATCATATGCAGACAGAGATCTGCGCGTCTGATAAACAGCGACTCCTTTTTAATAACGAAACAGATTTATTTAAACTAAAATATTACGCTGACTCTCAAACACGCCGATTCTCTACTCGCCACGTCTCGACTACGCGCGTTCTGCCTCGCTCGCACCCTTGCACCCTTGCTTAAAGTCTAACACTCCCTCTTTTCATACGCGGGCTTTCTTCCTCGATCGCTCGATACAGTCATAGATATCCCGTCAAAACGTTCCTTTCGCGCTGTCGTTTGTTCTTTCGCTCGCATCCTAGATGTTGCCCTGAACGCCCGAGTTGAACCCCATGACGCTGTTTATTATTCCTCGCTTTTCGAGAAGCGGCTCGAGCGTTCCCATGTACTCGCTTAGAAGTAAGACCACACACCCATTCGCTCTGTTATCGCTCTTAATACTATCTCCTTTGCTAGAGACCTTCACAGATTCCAATACCACGATAGTATCCTTGTTTAAGACAAGGCCTGCTAGGTATTCTTACTCATCAGTCCACTAGCTGGTCCAGGACGAAACGCATCCCTTCCTTTTCCTTGCGTCCCTTCTAGCACCACCTCTACATCGAGGATATCTGCGACCCGTCGACATCGTCAACCGTGGGGAAGGACCCCTACAAAGCCAATACCGAGCACCAGTGATCTCATCGCGACTGATCTCGTGGATCACTGTTCCTCGAAACGTATGACAGTAGCGTGGTACGTTGCGATCATTCTTCGACACTGGAACCAATGCGTCCATTTTCAATGCTATCGCTTTCTTCGCCCTATTTCAGTCTTGGATACTGCAAATTTGCATAATTCTTGCAAAAAAATAGAAATAATCTTAATGTATATTGGAAACACTGTAATACGTTATAGCAGCAATTCGGTTAATGATGATGTTCCTTTCTAGCGATTGAATAATTATTTTTGCAGATTGGATGGCTGAAGGTGGACACCAAAGCAATCCAGGCTATCCACGAGCACGTAATAACTCACAACACCAGGGTATCGGTGTCTCACAGTGATCACACTATGTGGAACCTTCACATAAAGAGCGTACAGCCGGAGGACGAGGGATTATACATGTGTCAGATTAATACAGACCCCATGAAGAGTCAGGTAGGTTAATATCGCGATTCCTCGGAAATTATTTTAACACGAGTAAGAGTAAAAGATAGCCGATTTTTGTTCAAGAAGAGGAAAATAAAATTCAGGTGGTGTCTTGCGAAATTCTAACGTAAACCATGAAGGGGAAACGTGGAAATAGTAAAAATCGCGAAAAATGCAGATATTTGCTTTCCATCCGGATAATTTTTTCGAGATCTATTAACACTTTCATTGCCACAATAAAATTTCCATTATTATTATGATATAATGATGAAATATCGAACAATATCGCAAAAAAGAAATAGAAAATGGTGGAAATTATTAATGTTTTCTATTCAGAGTTCTCTATTTATTTTCAAAAAATGGTTAAAATAAAACACAAATATAAATTTAAAAAATTACTATCACCTAGTGATCGCACTGGTATCACCTAATATAGCATTAGAAATTTTATTAAAAGATTAGTAGTATTATTAAGACACTGGTGATTACCATGGCAGTCAACGTGTTAAGAGCTATATATAATATTTCAAATTCGTCTTTGCTAATGGAATCATTAACTGTATTTCCGTGAATGTTTAACCCCTTAACTACGAAAGACGTATATATACGTCCTCACAAATCTATCACTATATACGAAAGACGTATATATACGACCTCACAAATTTATCAATATAAACGAAAGACGTATATATACGTCCTCACAAATTTATCAATATATACGAAAGACGTATATATACGTCCTCACAAATTTATCAATATAAACGAAAGACTTAAATACAAGCTCCCTGCTTTTTTCTTACTCTATCACTTTTGCTATTTTACCAATTGATTCAAACTAAAATATAACATAGTAATTGAATATCGGTAATTGCTTCAATATTGTTCTGTCAATTGTCAAATATCTGTATTAATGATTCTCTTGGAGAATGTACCGCAGTCAAAGGGTTAAGTAACAAGAATAAAATATCACTGTTGAATATTTTTAGTTTTACTCGTCTTCTGATAAATCACATTATTTTCGTTATGCGTATTAATTGAAGTTCTTATCTGATTGAACTATTCATGCCATAGCTGCAACCCCCGAAACACGAAAATTGGAGAATATTGTTAACCCCATAATACAATCTCTGCGAGTATTAAAGGTATTTCTCCAGAATCTACAGAAGTATGGCATACCAGAGAATTTAACAAGTCCTCTTCGCTAGTTCTGGAACGTTGGGGCTTGTTTAGAACAATCTTAGAGATAATATTTAGGTTTATCCACGTTAATCTGCGCCCTCATTAACGACATATCACGGAAATCCATTGCACAACTCTCATTTGCTATACTTATTAAGAAAAACAAAATACCACTACAGTCCTTTTAAACTAACGCAATTATTTATTCTAATCTCGATAGATAATAGGTAATTTCACGACTGGAGTAATTCGTCGCGTTCATATCCGGAAAATATAAAATCGTGTAAAAGATTTGGAACGCATAAATTCGATAATCTAATTACCGGCATAAAACTTGTACTCCAATCTATGCCAACAACTTCCTTTTTCATAAAATTATGGAGAATAAATAAGTTTGCAGAAAATTGATGAGTAGTGAGACGACCCATTTCCTTTTTGTGCTAAAAATTTCAACGCACTCGTGAGCACCATTCACGGTGAAATAAAATTTTGTTCTAGGGGGAAAAAAGAGGGAAAAGAAGAAAAGAGAAGGAAACAATAAAATGACACAATGCAATTGCGATACAAATAATAGTAATGGAAAAAGAAAAGAAATGTCGCTTCCTATAGTAACTGGATCGTAACTTCATTGGAAATTACTTTTCCCGGAAAAAATTCTAAAAGCTCAATCTTTCAGGCTATTCCTTTCCATTAAAGTGCAATTCTTTTTACTAAAAAGCGCAGAAGACCCAACCTTCCGAAGTATTATATTATATAGATAAATTAAAAATATATGTAAATTAAATTACAAATTGAGTTATATAAATTTTGATAAGTGTATTTTCTCCTGGTTCCTTTCATATCATTCCGACATATCTTTTGACATATCATCCGATATATCTTTCTATTTCCTGTATTATTTGGCACGTTTCAATTGCACTAGACATCGCAAAAATAATTTATAAAAAGGACTCGGTAATTCTAAAAGCGTGAACAAGCGAGCAGCAGACTCTAAACGAGCTATTTTCAGTAACATCCAGACGTTGCTTTTCATTCCTCCGATTTTCCAAACCATCAGCCATTCTTCCCAATATCGAGGCCATGACTACACCAATATACACACCCCTCTGTAAGCACACAAGACTCCGCGTTCATCCCTTTTACCAACTGTCTCACCTTCGTAAAGAGAGATATGTCGAGATAGAGTCGGGGGTTTCTCCTTTGAGATCTCATTTTCCGACATTCCAGATTGAATCTAAACTTCCCATGTTTATCCAGGAATCACTTCTCCCTTAAAGGAGAAGAAACGGTAATCTCTTGAAGAACGCTCGAGTTGTCAGCGACTCGATGGTCAACCCCCCACGAGCCAGCTTTCGCGGCGTCTGTCTGGCAACGGGGGTGAAAAACAACGTGGAAAATATCTTAGCGAATAGGTGGAAAATGCTGCGAATTTAAATACAGGTTTCTTCCGTGCCTTCCATTATGCCGATGTTAAGCAAGCCCAAAATTCGTTTCGTACTCACCCCTTTCCACCCTCTCCGGGTGCCTTCGCCGACTGGTAAAACTCGACGCCACCCTCCCGCAATTCTATGAGCAGTTTCGTTTCGGCTAACCGTATTTCCCTGCTCGTTTCCGTGCGACTTCAACGCGGTGACTCCTTTCGAGCATGCTTGTCATACCGACGACTGTGCGGCTAACAAAATGTGCCTCGGTATGAAATATGTTTACAAGAGAAACAGCGCAAGGAAATCTCATCCGCTTGCTTTGCGTAATACGCTTAATGGATGAGCAGTTTCTTTAATCGCAAATTATTTGCGAAATTAGATTATGGCAAATGGTTAGGAGAAGTTGGCATTTTGGCTGCAGTGACGTATTCACATGATCGTCTGCATCCAACGAGGAGATTATTAAACTAATCACTGTATTTGTAGATAAAGCAACACCAGGTAAAACTGTAGATAATCACTGTGATTGTAGATAAAGATATCTATCTCGTGGTTTCCGGAAGAGATTCAAGGTTTATCGTATTTATGGTGCATCATAACAAGATGAGGGATTTTTAGATAATGATTTAAAGAAGATTAGGAAGATTAATCTGCATATTGTTATATTTCAAAATTGAAATTAAGGAAATAAATTCCTCGTTGATGAATCAGATAAAAATTGATAGCTGAGTAGCAGGAAATCTTTGGTTCAAGTTATTAATTAGATTATGGCAAATGGTTAGGAGAAGTTGGCATTCTGACTGCAGTGACGTATTCACATGATCGTCTGCATCCAACGAGGAGATTATTAAACTGATCACTGCGTTTGTAGATAAAGCAACACCAGGTAAAACTGTAAATGATCACTGTGAATGTAGATAAAAATATCTATCTTGTGATTTCCGAAGAGGAATCAGGTTTTATCGTATTTATGGTGCATCATAACAGGGTGAAGGATTTTTAAATATTCGTTTAAAGAAAATTACGTAGATTAATCTGTATATAATTGTATTTCAAAATTGTTATTGAGGAAATAAACTCCTGGTAGATAAATCAGAAAAAGATTGATAGCTGAGTAACAGGGAACCTTTGAATAGTTTGGTTAACGTTAATTGCATTTTCTCTCAGCTTTCATACTGCTTCATCGAATATCGTGCTTCTTCGCTGCTAATTGTTTCAGTTCTACTGGTACGAACGGAGAAATATATTCGGTAGTAAATTGTACGCGATTACGCGAGATTTTTCAAATTTGCAAGCTTAAAATACTGCAGTGCTTTGCATCTGCGATGAAGTAAAGAAGTAAATTAAAAGGAGTGAATTTTGTTAAAATTAGATAGAAAGAATTTAAAAGAAAAGATATTATTTTCGTCAACGAAATATTTAATATTAATTGCCAGTATCATTCGTTTATCGAGGGGATATGTTCCAAGCGACAGGAAGATACTGCTCTCCCTGTTCAGATGTTTTAAGACTTTTCGCTAAATCCAGATTAAAGTATCTCCTAGCACATCAATCAAAATTATCCCTACAACACGGTCGGCCCTGGTTTCCCTTACAGCCTGATGTCGGACGACAAACTTTGGGATTCAAATTAATAACGCAATTGTATATTCTCAACCCACTTCTATGCTCTTGACATATGAGCGAAGAAAAAACACGCCCAAAGGCTATTGTTATGCATAAATTATTAAAACAGGAAAATATTTTCTTCCAGCCAAATTCCATAAATATGTATATGAATATATACGTACACACTCGGGGATAAATTACATGCAAATGTATCAAAGAGAACAATGTACTCCAAAAAAGGAAAAAGAAAAAGAGAAGAAGAGAATTAAATTCAATATTAAAATTAAATAAACCGAGAGAAATACTACTTCTTAGAATAAATTTACTCGACGTTCTAAAAATATATGAATCATCGAATATCGAACGTTGTCAAAAATAAAATATCTAATTTCAAACAGTACGTCAAATTATGGAAAGAGACTTCGCAGAGTGTCAATTTTAACAGATTAAACGCAACTTCCTCAATTTAATTCGTTATTTAAATTTGTCAATACTCGCTCGTTAAAACCCCGCACTATTTGGCCTGCATTTAAATAAAAAATATGCAAAACAACCATAGCGAGATGTTTATCGAACCAGTTTATGATTCGTGATTTGTTCACGATGGATTGAATAATTGAAACGAAAATAAGTTTAAGTAAATACAGTTGGTCGTGAAGTAATGACTGCGCGTTGATCGGTCAGATGATTTTTCGACGAACGTGCGGGTTAACCAATATTTACGATCGAGTTGGACCCAACTAGACGATAATTAATCTATCGAATAGACCGGAGTTTCATAATTCACTCGTGACACTGGCAAGTTTACGCGTTCGGGCACATGTCAGTTTGCCTGTCACTAAACTGTCACGTGACAAGGATGAGGAAGGACAAGAGAGGCACAGCACTGTTCGCCTGCCTCTTCGTGATGTATTCGTTGAGACTGCTTTAAGCAGTTCGGTGACTTGTGAGCCAACTCGGTTATAACGATTGAAGTTTCGTCGTGGCGTAGATTACGTCTTCATAATTACACGCACACCTAGGGTAGGATGTAAGAGCGAGTGCCTCCACTTTCCGTCGACTGTTCACTGATTTCCTCGCGCCGTAAGTGGAGTGGAAAGATATTAGAGTGGGACCAAGTCCCTTCGACTCTGCCGATGTTTCGCGGTTAAACGCACGATGATTCGGAAAAGTTCAGACATAGATAGAACTTGCTCCGCCTCGGATCTCTTCAGTGGGAATCTGCCCTGCGAATCGTAACAGAACGCCGAGTATCGCAGTTTGCTATTGTAAGGATGCGTGGGGTTCGGGGAACCGGAGGGACTCGAATTAAAATTAATAAAAGGTCTGTTGTTTCGAAAATTTATTCTTCACGAGTTATTCTGTTACTCGTAATAATAATTTATTAGTCACGTAGTATCGCAGGATTTCTACCTCGTGTATAGGTGACTTTAGCTTGGAAGGTCGCCGAGGGTTCGAGGGCCAGGTCGGTCGGAAAAACCCCGGTGATGCGTCAGGCCCTTAGCATGACCATATTTGGTCATATTGGGGGAGGCTTTTGGGAAGATATAAAGGAAGACAAAAGTGATTAGCGGACAGTTCTTGCGTAGAGTTCTTTGTTTGAGTATACACGGATTTTGGTAATCGCGACACATTGGTATGGCTAGGCGGTGTGCGAGGAAAGAGGAGAGATTCCTATGTAAACATGCGAGTGTCCGACTCGTGTTAGTCAAGAAACAGCTATGCGAGGAGAAACACATAAATATAACTATTAAGAAAGACTGTGTTCGAATTTATTAACGGAAATCCAACATTCTTGTGTAGAGGTTTCAGGAAGAGTGATTAGAACAGAGTTGTACAGCTAATCTTCCTGTAACACGGTAGACAGGTTCTTAGAAAATGTCGTGTTGTGTGAAATCGTGTTGTATGAGACCCAGAGCCAGTACAAAAAGGGGGGTTATGTTTCGAAAATTTATTAAAAACAACTTTTTTTTAATTCTACATAAACAACTTAATTTTTGTTAAAAATATAAACATATGTACAACACAAAACAAAACAAAAATACTTTCTGCAACACTGTAACTTTAAAGACTGCAAGCCTCGCCGGGGCTGTAGAAGTACAATGTTGTACAAAGGTTTTCGCAATTTTCTTATCATGTAGAGCGAAATCGTGTTATAGGATGCCGTGTTGTAGGAGGATTCCCGCAATTTATGAATCGTGTTATAGTCAGACCGTGTTGTAGGAGGGATAATTGTATTTTAGATCAAACACTGGAGTTGTAATTGTGTTGTTAAGTTGTAGTAGTTAGTTGATATATCTATATTCGTAGGCTTGATCGTTACTACAAATTGTATTATTATTATATTATAAATAAATAGTATTATTAACCACTGCCCATGTCTCTACACTAGTAATAATAATTTATTAGTAATAAAAATTGAATATCTAAATATGAATTATTTTGATAATAATTTATGAAATAATAATTATGTGGTAGTAATGATGTATTATCTAAATATGAATTATTCAGATAATAAATAATTCGTTGAAAAAGTGTAATCGTATTAGGATTAATTATTTGTCCCGACAGCTGAATATGTTTACTGTAAATACTTGACCGATTTTTCCAGCTCGTAATATCGTGAATCCTTATATCCGCTGGTTTTATGGGAAGATCGGATACTATGGATCTGTTTCAATAACGCGGCAATTCCTGAAATACCTCTACACTTATATTCTCCTTACCATACTCCATTATCTAACGCCTTCTTCCCGAGGAATTCTTCGAAGCCATCAGCTTGAAATTTGTCTCAATAACTGGCAACTTCTTACGAGTCCAAGTGCCCGGCCTCTCCACGCCCGTTTATAAACCATTCGCAAAAAGAATTGCTACCTATATTTCGAAGAATTCCTCAACGAATCATTCCGCGATCAATCAGTGCGCACCAGGTGCGGTAAATCTTTCGGCGAAAGAAAGCGACGAATGCACCTGCGAAAAAACTAGGAAAAAATTAGGGAAAGTTGTTCCATCGTGCCTCGGAGGACCTCGCACAGTGGGGAATTTCGACGGAATGCTACCCAAAATGCGAAGGCACTTTTTAATTTATTGAAAAATTGGCATCTTTCTATGTACGACTAATTTTTCATTATTTCAATTTATTATTTAAATCAAATTCATTTAGGAATTAATTAATTATCAATTCGAAGCCAAAAGTAGAAGTAGAAACAAATACAATGGCGGACAGATATGTAAACAAAATATTAAATTCTGTTGGAAATTGTTATTTACACATTTTCGAAATCACCGATTACGAATTCCACATAAAAATTCTAAAAAGCAAACTGGGGTGTTCAAAATGGAGAGGGACCATATTGAAAATGATTATATCCAGCTGAAACTTGATATTTCGCGATTTAAGAAGAAACAAACACAATGGCGGACAGATATGTCAGAAAAATATTAAATTATGCTGGAAATTGTTATTTACACATTTTCGAAATCACCGATTACGAATTCCACATAAAAATTCTAAAAAGCAAACTGGGGTATTCAAAATGGCGGAGGAACATATTGAAAATGATTATATCCAGCTGAAACTTGATATTTCTCGGTTTAAGACGTGGCTAATTACGAATTCAGAGACAGGAGAACGCGTCGCGACGATTCGTCTAGAGGGGAGCAGCAGATGATTGCTCATACGTCGGTATACTGGAAGCGAATGTAAATGACCAATGAACGAGCAGCAGTTCCGCGACAATTTAACTCTCGCTTTAGATGGAAATGTAAAAATAAAAGGGAAAAAATTCCTTCTTGCTTTTCCACCCTCGCTATACTTCTGTCGCGTTCGTTCTTTCCACTACTGTCCTCGTTCGACTGCAATCGCAGCTACTGTTACTTGCTATGTCTCGCTGCGGTGTATTCTCTTAATGAATAAAAAAAATGGCGGCACTCATTGGAAACGATGCCAGTGGGGTCTCGTACGCCTCTTCTCTCGCACCGCTGCACAACCTCGTGATATGTTGCTTCAGCTTCCATTGCAGTGCAGGTTATGGGAGGCGAAATACAGCGAGGATTTAGAGGCTCTTACGTTATTCAGTCCCGTTCGCGAATAGAGTAACGTGTGCGGATATAATTTAGGGATTCGGTAAGAAAGGAAATTTACTTGATGCATCGCGCAGCCGTTAAGCGTATCATTAACATTAAATTCCGGCTGGTTCCGGTGCGTGCAGGAAAATATAGTCGGTGCGAGACGAGTTTTGGCATTGTCGTTGAAATACTGTTCTTGCAGGCAGCGTGTAATCCTCCGGTGCAATTGCGCGCTCGGTTTTCGTCTAGGACCACCGCTAGAGGCCAATAACTTCGAGTAATAAAGTTATTTACAACACGCGAGATTATTTACGCCGATAACTTTACATTTTCCAACAGCAGACGGAATTATATCGAAGTAGGTTTAAGCTCGTTTATTCCACAACCGACTTGGAATAATTTCTGCGAATTTTCTCACCGATGCACAGTTCTTTGACAATAGATACTGCAGAGATTGTGTGGTGTTAAATAATATAACTACTATTTATTAGACATAAAATATAATATACAATGTGCGGTGACGGTAAAGACTACGAATATAGATATCTATCAACTAAACTTTTACGACTACAACTAATAACACGATTATAACTAACAACACGAATACAACTAACAACGCAATTCTTCACAACTCTCTCTCTAATAATTCTACTACGAACTCTAACATACTACCCCGTACTACGACATACTACATATTGCCCACTCACGCCCTTGCATCCCTATTTAAAACCACACATTCTTTCCTCTTTCATACCTATTCTCTCTTTCCCAATCACACTTTCTCACGCACTCCGTGCAATCTTACCCTCAGCGGGTCACGTAGCCCAAACACTCAAACGCATTCCGAGAGACACACTTCACTTTCATCCGATGCATTCATAAACATCCCGTCCACACGATCCTAGCGCACGGTCATTCGTCCTTTCGCACGCACTCTAGATAACATGCTCATACTAGTTTAACAGTATTAATTTAACACGATCTGTATTGTAGAGTCACACAGTCTCTACTATACTGAAGAGTACTTCGGCTTCTAAAATTTACTGCAGACTAGGGACTGAATTTAGCTTATAAAGACTGCAACTAACAGCTCTTAACGAACTCGTAACGAACTAAACATCAACTAAACTACAACTCAAGACTCTCAACACGAATTACTGATGAACTGAAAGACAACTAAACTGAACTGATGAACTAAACTGTATCTTCCAGAGCGGGCCCTTTGGAAGGCAAGGGTCTCCCCTCGAAGGAGGAGAAAACTCCTCCTTCCATGTTAGGCTCTCAGAAGGGTCACAGCGGGGAAAGCCGGGGTTGCACGAAATCACCTCACGTGGCCTGGCCCCGACCTCCTAAGACCATTCTGGCAGCCGGACCCTAACGAGTCCTTTAAACCTGGCGAAGTGTTCCCTACAGGAACACTTTGACTATCGTATCCTAACAATGCCTAAAAATATCCTGCAGTATTATACAGTAGAAAATAAAAACAAAAGTATAGTTAAAAGTATAATATAGTATCTGAATTATATAGTAAAAAATAATATCGTATGTTTTCAGACAGGAATGTTGTCAATCGTTGTGCCACCAGACTTCATTCCCGAGGAGACTTCGAGCGATGTCATGGTACGGGAAGGAGGACAGGTATATTGACGACGAATCATTGACAAAATATGCACCAGAGATCTGATTCGCGTAATAATTCAATTCGCGTTTCGTTCGAATTTAATTAACTTTGCAATGTCGTTGCCTAAGTCAATTGTTTATTGTAGGAATTGCACCGTCAAATATTATTCAACGTCGAAATCCACGTAGACTTTCCATATTACGAAAGAAGAGATATTGCGAATACTGCTAAAGGACTTCAATAACCTGTTGCATGTATATGTATCGCGTAGCTTTGGAAGCATACGTGTAGCATATTTCACATTTTCTCTATTTTCTTATCAAAGCTGATGCCGCGACAGAACAAATATTACTTTTCTCCGCAGATAGTCGATAAGGCAGATCTAACAATTTCGTACGCGATATTTTATTTCGTTATAAAAAGCTCAAATCGCAGCGTTAAAAGCCTATAGCCGTGGTTTCGATAGATCGCGTCTATAGAGCGTAAATATTCAGTCTCTGAAAAATTTGACGATTAAAAACGATTTACCGACTAAATTCAGCGCGAGCAGAATTAAAAAGCAGCGATGAAACGACGGCGTAACTCGATTATAATATACGTCTACGTGTAAACCAAAAATTTATGTAACTAAGGTGAACGAGAATTTGTATCAAATTTTGCCTGTATTTCCATAAAATCAATCCACCACTTAGAGAAAAATAAATCCCTCAGCTTTAGAAGCACTATGTATTTATTTATTTATTATATTTATATTTATTACAGTTATTAATTCCTGAGCTTTAGGAACTCTATGTGTTTATTTATTTACTATATTTACATTCATTATAATTATTAATCCCTGAGCTTTAAAAACTCTATGTGTTTATTTATTTATTATATTCGCATTTATTATAGTTATTAAACCCTGAGCTTTAGAAACTTTATGTGCTTATTTATTTACTATATCTACATTTATTATAGTTATTAATCCCTGAGCTTTAGAAAATCCATGCATTTATTTATTTATTATATTTATATTCATTATATTTATTATATTAATATATCCCTAAGCTTTAAAAATTCGATGTATTTATTTCTTTATTATATTTATATTTATTATATTTATAAATCCCTAAGCTTTAGAAGTCCTACGTATTTATTTATTTATTATATTTATATTTATTATATTAAGTTCTATGTATCATTCTATATATTTTAATTTCTAAATCCAGAAGCAAATTAAATTAAGATTACTGACAACATTACTGGCATTTGTAGAAACAATCATAGTTACTATATATATATATATATTATTTCTTGGCTGATGACTTCAAATGTTGACTTTTCTAAATTTCATTACTCAATACATAATTCATTCGCGATAGTTTCATACTATCCACGAAGAAGAAATAATCTGTCTGAGTCTTTATCACTCGTGGCTTAACAAAAATTATTATACTTCTTCTTTTATTTCTAGTTTTTAGTCTTCCAATAATGGTAACTCGCAACTAACGGTGATTTAATATGTTACAAGTACTTAAACCGCAATTTGAAGAATAAAATAAGCGGCAAGATAAAAAGTAAAAGGTAATAAAGGACGAGAAAATAGGTTTAAATTTCGAAGAAAAGGAGACAAAAGAAAGGAATAACGTGGTCGTATTTCGCTGCCACAGAGCGTTTCTGAGCCAATTCGTACTTACGCTTATCAAAAATTAAAATTTCAATTCCAATTCGTGCCAGTCCCAGCCAGAAGTACTAAAACGACTAGGTAGATGCTCTTTCATCCAGATACCGAACGTCGTTATTAATGACAGTACGCTCTCAATCGTCTGGTCCCGTGTTTATAAAAATCTCGTTCAGTTTTGAATTCTTTGTTCAGCTACACGTTACGAAACATTATCCTGAGCAAGTTTCTCTGGACCACGAGAAAAATCGTAATTATTTCATAAAGCATACACAGAGTTAACCGATACGTTGAGGGATCATGTACTGTGCGTTCGAGAAAAGAAGGCACAGGGTGTCTACATCGTCACCACTGTTTAACTCCACTGATTCTCACAGAAAACGATGACACATGATTTTCGTCGCCATCTTGGTCCAATAGTGGTCACTGTCTGTGATGATGGAACTGTCATTGCAGTCAACACTTTGACAGTTTTTAAAAAATTTTGACACTTTTTAAATGGGGTATACTCAGGGGGCCAAAATTTCCATTATTTTTACTATATAAAGATAAATTATATCATCAAACAATTTGGCAAAAAAGAAAAAAAGAAAATGGTACAAATTATTAATGTCTTCTGCACAAAGTTCTATCTATTCATTTAGTTTCTTGAAATTTTCAAAAAATGGTTAGAATAGAACAAATATAAATTAAAAGAATTAATATCGTCGTGTGACTGGTGACCACCATGATCCCACTAAGGGGACAATCGTCGACATGGTTTTGCTTGAAATTCTTGTCCCGTGCCTGTTGAGATATTCGCTTCGAGGATATGATTTACCCTTCTTCGAAATCACTCGTGTCGTAATTTATTATTTTAAACGTTCATTTTTATTTTAACTTTCCTTTTATTATTTTAAACGTCACTCATGTCGCTTTAACGGTGACCGGAGCTAGCATACTCTTACATACTCTTACACCTTTTATCGATAAATACTAATTGTCTATCTGTTCCTGTTACTATTGAAGAATTTTTCGTAAAATAGGTTAGATTCTTTATCACTTCAGTGAGCTTCTCGGCGTAAACTCATTTCGCTGTTCGGAAATTTGGAAAACTTTGAAAACAGTTCGAAATGTACAAGTATCGAATCAATCCTGGGATTTCTCGCTCATTCATCGAGTAATTCGTTTGCCTTGGACGAATAGCGCAGTTTTTAGTAGATATAACACGGTTTACTCTGGGCTAGATATCCGTACACAAGGGTTTCATTTTTTCGAACATATTTACACGCGGCCCCGTGTCTAGGAGGCAATAACGAAGTCGATTCTCTTTATAATTCCGATTTCATAACACGTACAGGTGAAGTTAACGTGCCATGCGAAAGGCGTGCCACCACCCCGCATATCGTGGCGCAGAGAAGACGGGAAGAACATTATAATTCGGAAGCCATTTGCAGGAAGCGCCTTGAACCAGATGTCTCATGGTAAGATTTAATATAGATGACGCTCCTACCATTTCACCGATATAACATGGAATATACAATTATATTTTCCTCGAACTTGCTCCGTTGAATTCGCCTACTATTTTAATTTCCTTATTCCACCGCGAACCTGCCGCGGTCGACTCATTCAAAACTGCCTGCGGGTAACGTAACTTTCGAGGAATTATTAAACAACGCTATGCAGAACGTAGGGAATGGTATCCGATTTTTGCGGAACATTGTCGCGCTGACAATTCCCACGAATCGATTTATGGTTACATGTGCGTCCCCGGTTCCCCGGTCGATGGAATATATTTGCAGACGTGGGTAATAGAAAAATAAAAGCTGATATGTCGTAATGTCGCGAAGATTCCTAGATTTCTCTGACATTTCCTAGTCGTGACACTCGATATTGTTCCTCGATCCGTGCAGTGAAGAGAATCGGAGAATTTACGAGACTCTGCGCGTCTTTCAATCGCGGATGATTCGATGGGATCGTCGGAATAAAATATTTATGCAGGGTATAATACGGTTAATCGAAATTAATCCTTTGACTGCCACACCGAAATCACATATTTCGGTCAAGATGCCATGGGAAGAATAGTGCATCGCTATATCCAAGATTTGTTTTAATATTATTTTGATCGATGTTCTAATAAAAATTTTGAATTGTTTAATGGGGCACTTTTTATTTCAAAGTATATTCTAATTAGCGGTTATATTCGAAATGCACTAACTGTCAATTTTCATTTAATTTTTACAATTGTAAGTAGTTCAAGCGTAGGTCACCAATGACCACCGTGGCACCTTGGTAACGGTTGACAATTCACTAACTGTCAATTTTTACGATTGTGAGTAGTGCAAACGCTCCTTTTATCAATGATCACCGCGGCACCTTGGTAACGGTTGACAATTGATTAACTGTCAATTTTTACAATTGTGAATAGTTCGAACGCTCCGATCACCAATGACAACCGTGGCGCCACTGTAACGGTTGACAATTGACTAGTTGTCAATTTTTACAATTGTGAGTAGTTCAAACGCTTCTATTACCAATGACTACCGTGGCGCCTTGATGACGCTTGTCAATTAATTAACTGTCAATTTTTACAATTGTACGTAGTTCAAGTCCTCTAGTCACCAATAACCACCGTGGCGCCTTAGTGATAGTTGACAATTAATTGTCAATTTTTACAATTGTAAGTAGTTCAAACGCTGCGATCTCCAATGACCACCGTGGCACCTTGGTAACGGTTGATAATTGACTAACTGTCAATTTTTACAATTGTAAGTAGGTCTAATGCTCCGATCACTAATGACCACCGTGGCGCCACTGTAAAGGTTCACAATTGACTAGCTGTCAATTTTTACAATTGTGAATAGTTCAAATGCTCCGTTTACCAATGACCACCGTGGCGCCTTGATAATGCTTGGTAACTAATTAACTGTCAATTTTTACAATTGTACGTAGTTCAAGCCCTCTAGTTACCAATGACCATCGTGGCACTTTGGCGACGGTTGACA